ACGTCACAGCCAGGAGATAATCTGCAGGAGAGGGGGTCCTACGGGTCGGGAAATGCTTCACCCTGAAGAGGCACAGCAGTCAAATGAAAGACCTGATCTCTGCTTAGCCAAGAGACCTATGTCACTTTAAGCAGGACAGACCCTTATGACTTTCCAGGGCACAGTTTGAAAAGGGGTGGCTTAGGGTCACACAGCATGTCAGGGTGCTGTGTCCACACCCCCTGCCTCCCAGGATGCCCAGCTGAACCCCCTTCTCACCTTCTCTGTCTTCTGGGTACCCAGTGGCCCAGATGCGCCCAGCCTGCGAGCAGATCTACAACCTCTTCCATGCAGCCGACCCCTGCGCCTCCCGCCTGGAGCCCCTGCTGGCCCCCAAGTTCCAGGCCATTGCCCCACTGGCTGTACCCCGCTACCAGAAGTTCCCCCTGGGAGATGGCTCATCCCTCCTCCTGGGTATGCCCTAGTCACCATAAATGGGACAGGGGGAAGATGCTACCCAGGAGGGAGGAGGTAGTAGTAGACACGGGCAGTCCTCACATGATAATCTCTCCACAACTCCCAGGACCAAGGTGCCCTCCCCTGGCCCAATGGGAGGGTCTTGATCCCCAGGACTTTGTGTGACAAATTGGGGGACAGTGGCAGTAACCTAAAGAGAGGAAGCAGAGAGGCGCTGACGTATTTGTGTCTGAGAACAGCCAGCATTTATGTGGCTCCTGCATCTGTGTGTAGCAGTGTTCTGTCCGTACACATTTGAGTGCATGGCATGTACAAGTCTATGCAGCTGGGTCCCCACTAGCCTCATGAGATAAGTGTCACAGGCATTCTGACAAGAGTGCAGCTGACTACTGTGTAAGCTACGTGGAGATAATGCCCCCCTACATACACACACACACACACACACACCCCGTGATGCAGGACGGTGCAGCCTCAGCCAGTACCTGAGGCTGGCAGGGGAGCTGGTGGAGGGGCAGGGGTTCTGCTGACCTGGGCCCCTGGATGAGAAAACAGGAGGGCAGCCTGACCTGGCCTGCTGCTGAGGATGCCCTCTTCCCCCAGCTGACACTCTGCAGACCCATTCAGGCCTCTTTCTAGAGGAGCTGGAGATGATGGTGCCCTCCACGCCCACCTCAGCCAGTGGTGCCTTCTGGAAGGGCAGTGAGTTAGGCACAGAGTCATCAGCCCAGCCAGCAGCCCCCACTACCACCAGCGAGGTGGTTAAGAGTGAGTCAGCCAGCCATTTGCATGGGCAATCCAGCCTGGGGTAGGGGTAGAGGTGGGGTATACCATAAAATAGCCTTTTGTCCCATATATGCACTGGACCCCTCCTATCACCCCCGGACATGGCAAAGATCAAGCTTGGTGGGAAGGAGGGCGGGAAAAGCACCCCTGGGCCAGGCAGATGGGCAACAGGACACTGGGCCACCCTGACTGCCTGCTGCGGTCACGCAGTCCTGGAGCGCTGGTGGGGGACCAAGCGGATCGACTACTCACTCTATTGTCCTGAGGCGCTCACTGCTTTTCCCACCGTCACACTGCCCCACCTCTTCCACGCCAGCTACTGGGAGTCAGCGGATGTGGTGGCCTTTATCCTGCGCCAGGTGAGTGGACCCAGAGGTGGGGGGTGGGCAATGGGAAGAGGAGGTGTGGAGTCTTGGACTAGGGGACAGCTAGTCTTCCCCTTCCCCTGTTCACGTGGCCTAGCCCTGTACCCCGCACAGGTGATAGAGAAAGAGCAGCCACAGCTGGCCGAGTGTGAAGAGCCCTCCATCTACAGCCCGGCCTTCCCCAGGGAGAAGTGGCAGCGCAAACGCACGCAGGTCAAGATCCGGGTGTGTACCCCACCGCTCTCCCCCTCTGGAGTATCAAGCACCCCACCCCGCCCCAGACTTTCCCAGCCCCACCTGGCCCCTATGGTCCTGGCTCCACTTCCTCTTTCCCAGTTGTACCCCACCCAGTATTGCCTTGGCCCCGCCCCTGGGAACCTGTGGTCTCCAGGTTGCCTCCCTTCCCCTCGGAAGTCCGATATTCACCCCAACTTGGCTCATCCTCCGCTTCCAGCTCCCCTCCCACCACAGATCTGATCAGGGTCAACAGACTTGCATGTCCCTCTGGCCTCTCTCTCATTCCTTGTGGCAGCCCCGCCCCCCTGGCTCTGCCCCCAGTGTGGAGGGGGTTCCCCCCCACCTTCTACCCCTCACCCCCAAACAGCCTCATCCTTTTCCAGCGAGGAGCTCATAAGGTTCATTCTGTCTTCTCCTGCCAGAATGTCACTTCCAACCACCGGGCCAGCGACACTGTGGTGTGTGAGGGCCGCCCCCAGGTGCTGAACGGGCGCTTCATGTATGGGCCCTTGGATGTGGTCACACTCACTGGAGAGAAGGTCAGGACAGGACTCAGAAGCCTTGGCCTCTGGTATTTAGGGCCCTGTCCCAGGAACAGCTCCTGATAGGCAGAGGTTGAGCCCCTAGCACTGCCCACCACCGAAGACAGGCTGGCCTCTGCTCACCTCCACTCTGGTTGGGGGGTGCCTGGAAAGTGCACCCCCAGGGACCTTCCCACCCCCTCTCCCTGCCAGGTGGATGTCTATATCATGACACAGCCACTCTCCGGCAAATGGATCCACTTTGGCACTGAAGTCACCAACAGCTCTGGCCGTCTCACCTTCCCGGTGCCCTCAGAGCGTGCACTGGGCATCGGTGTCTACCCAGTGCGCATGGTGGTCAGGTGAGCACTGGCAGGCTGGGCCTCTGTGACAGGGCTTCACCCGGCCAGGCCCCACTGGGCTCATGCTCACACCCCCTGGGCCACAGGGGTGACCACACCTACGCAGAGTGCTGCCTGACAGTGGTGGCCCGAGGCACAGAGGCCGTAGTCTTCAGCATTGACGGCTCCTTCACAGCCAGCGTCTCCATCATGGGCAGTGACCCCAAGGTGCGCGCTGGTGCCGTGGACGTGGTCAGGTAGGAGCTGCCACCCTGTTCGCCGTGATGACCAACCCCCACTGTTGGCCTACAGAACTGACCAACTCTTTCCACACAGGCACTGGCAGGACACAGGCTATCTGATCGTCTACGTCACAGGCCGGCCGGATATGCAGAAGCACCGCGTTGTGGCCTGGCTGTCACAGCACAACTTTCCTCACGGAGTCGTCTCTTTCTGTGATGGCCTCACTCACGACCCCTTGCGGCAGAAGGCGATGTTTCTGCAGAGCCTGATGCAGGAGGTGCGGCTGGGGAGGGTCCTTACCCATCCTTGCCTCAGACTGGACAGATGAACCTCATCTGGTCTCACTCCACTGGCCCCAGGCTGCATACCTGGGCCACTGGACCTGTCCTTATGGGTAAGAGCAGCTATGGCGTAGCTGCCCCTGTGGACTTCCTCCACAAACAGAGCCAGCTGCCTCGCTCCAGGGGCCCCAGCCAGGCAGAGCGTGAGGGACCTGAAACACCACCCACCACCCTGGCACGAGGCAAAGCCCGAAGCATCAGCCTCAAGTTGGACAGCGAGGGAGACTGAGTTGCTCCTGCCTTGGTGGATGAGAGTACTTTATGACCCCTCATCTGCCCAACTAGCCCTGCCCCCAAAACCTAACTAGGGATGCCCACAAACCCTATCCCAGCGACACGGCCCCACCCCTCGGGACTTTTAACTGGCTTCTCACCACAGGTAGAACTGAACATCGTGGCTGGGTATGGGTCCCCCAAAGATGTGGCTGTATACGCAGCTCTAGGCCTGTCCCCCAGCCAGACCTACATCGTGGGCCGTGCTGTGCGGAAGCTGCAGGCACAATGCCAGGTGAGGACCAAGGGATGACTGGGACCCTGCCAGGGCACTGCAGCCTAAGCCTGATGCCTCAGGACCACCCACTGTGTTTGGACCAAGGAAGGGGCAGCTGTAAGAAGGTCTCGGCTGACTCAGGGAACCTGGGATCCTCCTCGAGCAGGGGCCGTGGATAGCTAGGACTGCCTGGCTTCCAGGCAGAATAGGGATTATAACCCAGGCTGGAGCATGCCAAGACTTCACACACTGCTTGCACTCACCATAGCCTTGGGCCTTGACCTTTCTGATTCTCTGGGTCCTATTGATAAAGTGGAAATGGTACTGGCACTGACCTCATCAGTTTATCACAAAGATCAAATCCTCTCGGGCACATCAGCAGGCTTGGGATTGGATACAAGTGAGTGCTTAGCTGCTGTTATTTTCCCCTCAAGATTCCACCTTACAGATGAGATGGGCCCAGGAAGGGGCAGAGGTGGGAGAGCGACGCCAAGGTGCTCACTGCCATGGGATCCTGTCTACTGGGAGGAGGCTTTCAGTCAGGCTGAGCCGGACCTCTCACCTGCTGGCACTGCCCATTCCCCTATCCTGCCACAGGAGTAAGGGAAGGGGAAGGTGTGGGCCCCAGGCTACCCATCCTGTCTCTTCCCTGTGCATTTCTGCTTACAGTTCCTGTCAGACGGCTATGTAGCACACCTGGGCCAGCTGGAGGCGGGTTCCCACTCTCACGCCTCCCCAGGACCCCCGAGGACTGCCCTGGCCAAGAGCAGCTATGGCGTAGCTGCCCCCGTGGACTTCCTCCGCAAACAGAGCCAGCTACTTCGCTCCAGGGGCCCCAGCCAGGCAGAGCGTGAGGGCCCTGGAACACCACCCACCACCCTGGCACGAGGCAAAGCCCGAAGCATCAGCCTCAAGTTGGACAGCGAAGAGTGAGGCCCAGAGGTGGCTGGACCTGAGTTATTTATTGAGACTCAAGAGACCCAAGTAGCTGAGTGTGGGAGGCTCAGGGCCTGGATCTTTGGTCCCAGTCCTGGCCCCCAGGCCCACACCCTGCATCCGTGTGCCCCTCAGTATTACTTTCCTTTCATGGGGGGACCTATCCCCAGGGGGAGGGAGGAGGGAGTGGGCAAGGACCCAGCGTCTTTTCCACTGTGTGTAAGCCCATGAAAATAAACACCTGCATCCTATTGACTGTTGATCTGCCTGGCTGCACAAGGCACTGAGCCCAGCTTCTAATAAAGTGCAGAAAGGCCCTAGGCCCTGCCCGGAGTCAGGACGCAAGGCCATGATGGGCTCTGACCTCTGCTCTTCCCAGAGAGTCAATCCAGGCCCCGATGACTCTCACCTCGGCTTATTTTTGAGTTTGCAAGTCCTACCTGGTTTTGCTCTTCACTCTGTCTCCTCCAAAGGAAACCTCTGTGTTCAGAAGTTACCAAGGACCAAAGGCTTGGATACTACCCCACTTTATTTCCCCACTAAGATTAGAGGTTGCTGGGGCTCTCAGCGCCCCCACCAGTGAGAAGTACTCCCCCATTTCTGTCAGGGGCACTGAGGCCCACAGTTCCAGGGGCTGACCAGTGGGGTCCTAGGATGAGAACACTAATCCTTTGCCTCCCCAGCCACCCAAGTAAATGGCAAGTGATGACCAGCCTTCTCAGTGGATGGGCTCAGCAGATGCAGAGAGATAAATAAGGCCTTTATATACAGAGAAGCAAGACATGGCGGTGGCAACATGGTTGGCAGCACAGCAGTGGGCTTAGGGTAGCGCTGAGAGTAGGGCTGAGACCGTCAGTGGGAAAAGATGCCCCGGAAGCGGGCCTTCTCCTCCTCATCCTTCTGCCGGATCCGTGCCTCCAAGGCTCGTAGCTCTCGGCTCACAGTGGGTGCCAGGGCAGGGTCCAGCTCCAGCACCTTGGCGAAGTCCGCCTGGGCCTCTTGGGTATTCCACACAGCTGCATGGGCCTTGCCCCGCTTGAAGTAGGCCTTGATGTTGTCTGGGGGAACCAACGGGCAGCAGGCACAAGAGGGCATGAAGGGGGACCATCTAGCTGCCTGGCACCACAGGCCCATCAGGGAGAGCCCTTGCCGACCTCAGGAGAACAAACCACTCCTGCTCCACTAGACCACTCATACTGCACAGGTGCAACGGCCGTAGCCCTGCCTGGGTGGAGGCATCTGAGGATCTCAGAATGGGGTTGTCAAAGCTTGGCAACCCAGTGCCCACCTGCAGCCCAGTGCCCAGTGCTCACCGTCATATTTGTTGAGGATAGAGGAACAGTGGTCCAGTACTTCATAGTACTCTTCGGCCACCAGCTTGCACTGGCAGTAGTTGAGCAGCAGTGGTGTGATCTGGTGGTCTAGCTGCAACCAGTCAGGGGACCCAGGCTGCTCCTGTGGGCGTGGGGACAGGGCAGGGTCAGGATAGCCACTAAGACCCGGGTCCCTGGTCCTGCCTCATCACCTTCTGTCCATCCACCACAGCCCCCAGCACACCTTCATCTGCAGGTTCTTGAGGCAGGCGATGGCGTCATAGTACTTGGTGGCTGCCTCCTTCACGTGCCCTTCACGGTACAAACGGTTGCCCTCCTGGTGCATGAACGGCACTGCCTTTGCCTTCTCATCATCCGTCATTGCCCACGGGTCCTGCTGGTATGTGCCGGGGCTCTCCACCTGCCAGGGCATGAGCCAAATCAAGGTGGAGCCCGGAACACCCAAAGGTCCCCAGCTACGGATTCAATCAGCACCTAGTGCAGCTGGGCCTCCCGACATCAGATGCCAGAAGCCATCACGCTCCAGAGCCATGCATGGGTCGATCAACACATGTTTACACAGCATCTGTGCCCAGCACTGTGCCAAATACAAAGAACAGATGAGTGAACACAACAGTGAACATCCCTGTCCTGGCAGGGATTATGTTCCGTAGCATGATTCCTCGAGCAAAAGAGGAAGTGTGTGAACTCCTACTGCCTTCAAAGCCCTGGAAGGAAATGGTCAGCTCAAGCACAAAGAATAAAGGAAGCAGGGTGGGCAGGAGGTGGTGATCTTTGGGGTCAGGAGGAAGAGTGGGGGCCCAGCACAGTGTTCTTGTCCCTATCCCACCCCAGAAACAGATCATCCACTGGCCCCAGCTGGATGGGAAGGCAGGCTGGCATCACCCTGAGACAGCACAGCGGTGGCCTAGGAGGGCTAGGGTTTGGGGGCCTCACCTTCAGCATCTCAATGTGGAAGATGAGAGGCTGGGGGTTCTGCTGCAGGGCGTCCAGGTCGGCATGGCCCAGGGAGCTGTGCTCGTGCATCTGGGCAATGCCACAGCAGTGCCGCTGGCCCTCCAGGGGGTCCTTGCCGGCAGCAATGTTTCGGAGACTCTTGGCAACCAAAGGATACAGGACCACATGCTGCAGGAAGACACAATGGCTCTGTCAGTGTGGGCCAGGGCTTGCAGGGTCCAAGGAGCCCAGCCCCTCCCCATCACCACCTAACAAGGACAAATGGCGCAGGCCAGCCCACTGGAACACCAGAGGGCTGTTCCCTTGGGGCACTGTTAACCTCTCAGCCCTTGTTTCTGGTGCAGCTCCAGCCCCGCCATATTCTGGCTATCAAACGTGACATCCCCACTGCAGAGCCCAACATTCTGCCTGTGCCTCTGTTTCCCCCATCCTTCTAGTGGACTTCTTGCTTCCTCCTCCTCTCCCTCCCACAAGCTGGACTCCTCACGATGGTCCGTACCCCTTCCTCCCATCCCTACCCAAGTCAGGGACCATGCAACACCCCAGGAGGAGATGGATAAAGGGGATCTAGCCTCTAACTTTTCACTTGGAAAGGCTGCAGGGATGGTGGGGATCAATCTAAGAGCTCCATACTGCCCTCTGCTGTCAGCAGGGCAAACTGCTGGGCTGAAATTCACACAGGCATTTCCTCAGCCCGGCCCTGGGCTGGCTTCCATCTGCATTTAAGGAGTAAATGGAAAAGAAGTAGCAGTAGTATCTTCCAAGACAAAACATAATTAATTCTGCACAACGAAAAAAAAGAAGAAATAAATGTGGTGGCGCAAGCCTGCAGTACTAACACTCAGGAGATTGAGACATGAGGGTCTCGAGTTCAAGGTCAACCTGTGAGACCTCGTCTTTAAATTAAAAAAAAGAAAGAGGTAAACAGCCCAGAGCCCCTAACCTCTCTATCTTAGGACCTAATCTCTACAGCAGGAGACCGGAAGACCATCTGGCCATGAAGATGTGAGGGCTGGAACACCTCAGAAGAGGGATAAAGTCAACCGCTGGCAGTCAGGGAGGCTTCCTGGGGTGGTGACACAGGTCCTGGCTTTGAAGTACAGGGAGAGTCTTGGCCATGGGGAATGGAAAGGAATGGTGAAGGGTTTGAGTTGGAAGGGAGAAGAGCAGGGGCCATGTGAGCAGCCACACTTCCACCCCACCCTACGGTGAGCAAGAGCCGTGGCGGTCTGGGTTTGGGAACAAGTCCCCTGGCTTATGGACAGAAGGTGGGAATGGAGGCCAGGACACCAGTCAGAGACTGGCGTGATGGCCAAGCCAGGGTGGGGGCCCCGGGAATGGCAGACAGGCGCAGGAGGGTACCTTGGTGTCACAGAGGAACTGGGCGACCTCCCCCTGGCGCATGGTGCACACGACGGTCTCCCACACGGGCAGTTTGAACTTCTTGCCGATGATGAGCTCCATGGGCTTGCCCCGGGCCCGACTATCATCCAACACGGTGTCCTCGTTACTGCTGTGCAGCGTCCGGTAGTGGAATGTGGCCTGCAGGCCACATGGAGATTAGGGAAAGCCCAGTCACCTGACCCAAGGACAAGTCCACCCCAGCCTGCAGAGGGCATGAGGGCACCCACCCAGGGGTTCTCTGACCTGCCTTAACTCCTAGCCCAGTGGAAAAGCTAAGTCAGAGAGAGGAAAGGAAGGGGCCAGTCACCGAGCAGGCAGTCCAGTTCCAATCAGTCCTTCCACAAGTATTTCCTAAGCACCTACTATGTGCCCCAGCTCTAGGCCAGACACCAGGACATGACAGTGAACAAAACAGATGAAAGTCCCAAGCTGACAGTGGTGGCCCACACCAGTAATTCCAGCACTCAGGAGGCTGAGGCAGGAGGATTACAGCAAATTTGAGGCCAGCATGGGCAACACAGTGAGTTCAAGTTCAGCCTAAACCATAAAGTGAGACCCTGTCTATAAAAAAAAAAAGAAAAAAAAAGCCTCAGTCCCCAGGGGCTCCCAGGAACTTCTAGAGAAAGGAGACAAGGCAGATGTGTGAAAAAATGAATGCCATGGCAAATGAAGCTAAGTACTTTAGATCAGAAAATAATACAATATGGCAGAGTAAGGGAGGGCTCATTTAAACAATTGTGGGGGGCTGCGTGTGGTGGTGCACAGCTGTAATCCCAGCACTCAGGAGGCTGAGGCAGGAGGATCACTGCAAGATCAAGATCAGCTGGGCTACATAGTGAGTGCAGAGCAGTCTGAACCACATACTGAGACCCTGTCTCAAAAAACAAACAAAAAACAGTGGTGGGGCAAGGGTCTCAGTGAGGAGAAACCATCTAAGCAGAGATTGAAGGGAGGGGAGAGTAGAGCATACTGGGCAGATACCAGAGTAAGAAACTTCTAGATCCCAAAACAACAGACACAAAGTCTTGCAGTGGGGCAGTATGAGGTACATTCAAAGGCAGCAAGGCCAGTGTTTTACGGAAGGGTGACCAAGGTGGGGGACACCATGGGGTCAAGGGTTGGCAGGGATGAACTCCATGGGACCTGTTGGTTATGGTAAGGACTTTGGTTTTCCCTCTGAGATGGGAGGCATTGGGCAGCTCCAAGCAGAATGGCACTGGGATGAGAAGAATTTGTAGGGGGTGAAGAGAAAGGCAGGGCAGAGAGTGAGAGGACCAATGACGGCCTGGACCACAATGGACTAGAGAAGTCTCCAGTGGAGCAGGTTAAGACTGAGTTACCATGGGGAACTCCAGGATGGGATAGAAAGGAGGTCACTGCAGATCTAGCTTAAGGGAGGGGTAAAAAGGCTAGAGATCTGGAAGCATATTTGGGAGTAATCCAGACAGGGAGACTTTCTACAGAAATTAGACCATCTCAAAGTGAGTGGGAAGAGGAGGAGGCTAAAGAGTGAACCCTCAACAGGATATGGTTAGTGGAGCCCATGCTCTCAACTGGCACACCCACGCTGTGCTGTTTCTCTGAAATTGGTTTCTGCATCAGTAAAGTCAAATCAACAAATATTGATCTTATGTTGTGGGAAATAAAGGAAATAAACTTGTGAGGCACGTAGCACACGCTCACATACTGAGAACCCAGTCAATGCTGGCAAAATGCTTTTCCACGAAACTGCATTCCCAGCCCTGGCAACTGATTTATTAATATTACCTGCTTCTGTTCTTTGGGTGCTGTTGTTTATAGATCTCTACCTTTATGTTGCTCTCTCCTTTGGTTCTGTTCCATCTAGAATCCCCTTGCCATGGCACACAACCTACCACACACCCTCTCTCTTCTTGGAGATCTTGTTTTTCACAGCACTGGACAAATGAACCCAAAGTATTGCACATACTAGATTAAGTGGTCTACCACTTATCTACATCCTACAGCCCTTTTTATTTTTAAATTTTGAGACAGGGTCTCACTAAGTTGCCCAAGCTAGCCTGGAATTAGGGATACTTCTGTCTCAGCCTCAAACACTTAGATTACAGGTGTGGGCCACCTTGGCCAATAAGAAGATCCTTTTTTTTTTTTTTTTTTTTTTTTTTTTT